TTGTCAAGCTCATGAATTCTGCTCCTCCAACTCTAATTTCACTAATGGCACTCTCACATGGGAGCTAGGAGATCAAGGTTCCTTCTCCCTCAAAAAGGTTTCCCTTGCTCTCCAGGAATCAGATCCCTCCACGCTCACGGCAAAAATTCCTTGGCCCAAAAAAGGAATCCCAAAGGCAAACCTATTCCTCTGGAAAACCCTAAACAAAGCAACCCCCTTCTCCAACAACCTTCAAAGGCTTGGCTTCAATCTCCCCTCCATGTGCATGTTTTGTTCCCAAGCAAGCGAAACAGACTACCACTGCCTTATGTTGTGTCCTAAAACCAGCAACATCTGGAACAACATAGGGCAACTACTACACATGCCTATGATAACGAACTCCTCCTTCCAGCATAACCTAATCATGTGGTGGTTGTCCACGTCCCCTACTGATCATCTCTACCATGTCAAACGTATTATCCCAACCATCATCACTTGGGAGATCTGGAAAGCATACAACAGGGTTAAAGTGAACCTGGAACACTTTAAACCAGAGAAAACCCTAGAAGGAATCAAGCATACCCTAAACGCATGGTCCTTAGCAAACAAAGGAATGCACCTTCCAATCACGTTCCATCGGACTCCTCTCAAGCCATTCAAGCTTATTCGATGGATCCCTCCCAACCCCTTCCATTTCAAACTCAATGTTGATGGTAGTGCAAACCCTCGGGGTTGCGGCGGTGGAGCTGTTTTAAGAGATCACCAAGGCAACTTTCTTCATGCTTTAGCTTTTCCCTTACCTAGAACTTCACCACTATCCACAGAAGCCCTTGCAATGCTGCAAGCCCTCCGTTATTACTCCTTCCCAAACATGGTCGTTGAAACCGACAGCATGGAACTCCTACACATGCTACGTGATGTCCCAACGTCGAATACTCTCTTATTCATCAAGGAGAAGATAGAAACTCTCAATCTACGTCTCTCCCACACCCTCAGAGAAGCCAATGGTGCGGCGGACCTCCTAGCTAAACAGGGAGCAAGGAATTCTCAATGTGTTTACTTTGATTGCTTTTCTTCACTTCCTAGAGCTATCTCTACTGTAATCTCCTTGGACAAACTTGTCCCCTTTATTAGAGTGCAATAAAACCCCCCCATTAAAATATATATATATATATATATATATATATATATATATATATATATATATATATATATATATATATATATATATATATATATATATATATATATATATATATATATATATATATATATATATATATCGGCGCTACATATATATATATAATAAAATTTGTTTTGTCAAAATATAATTATCATATAATTAAAATGACAGAAACAAATATAATTTTAAAATACATATGTATTTTCGAAATACATATATATATATAAAATTATCACAACTATATATATTCAATATTACTCCCACTAGTGTAGTATACTACTCCCTTACAAGTCCTAAGTGTGTGACCCTTTAGGTATCCATAACACTGGCAATGATATTAATAAAATTAATATCATAGATAATAAGCAGTATCTAGCAACACATTATTATCCCCAGATTATAAAAAAGACGTTCATCTCATCAATACCTTCTACGACACAAGACGTTCTATAACTATTATCCTTCTGTCCTAAATGTCATGATTTAACACAAGGCATGGGATGTGTATCCTTGTATAGTTAAATCAGCTGTTACTGAATCTCAAGTAGACTGGCAGGGATCAGATATTTATCAGTCTCTAGATAGCGACATATCTGGGCAT